TTTTCTCTACATCTTTTCCTCTCTTTCTCTTTCTCTCTCTTTATCTTGTCCACTCTTTATCTTTCTCTCTCTTTCAGTCTCTATCTTTCTCCATTTCCCTCTTCATCTCTCTCTTTCTTTATCATTCCCTCTCTTTATCTTTCCCTCTCTCTTTATCTTGGCCTCTTCCTTTTTCCCTCCCTCTTTTTATCTTTATCTCTCTCTTTATTTTTCTCTCTCTTTATCTTTCTATCTCCCTCTTTTGCTCTCTCTTTCTCTATCTCCTTTTATCTTTCCCTCTCTTTATTTCTCTCTCTCTTTCTCTTTCTTTATCTTTCTTTCCCTTTCTCTTTCTCTCTCTTTCACTCTCTATCTTTCTCCATTTCTCTCTTCATCTCTCCCTCTTGATTTTTGTCTCTCTTTATCTTTGCCTCTCTTTTTATCTTTGCCTCTGTCTTTAACTTTGTCTCTCTCTCTCTCTTTTGATCTTTGTCTCTCTCTGTTGATCTTCCTTTCTCTCTTTATCTTTCTCTCTGTCTTTATCTTTGCCCTCTCTCTTTATCTTTCTCACTCTTTCTCTCTCTCTCTTTATCTTTTCATCTCTCTTTATCTTTGTCTCTCTCTGTTGATCTTCCTTTCTCTCTTTATCTTTCTCTCTGTCTTTATCTTTGCCCTCTCTCTTTATCTTTCTCACTCTTTCTCTCTCTCTCTTTATCTTTTCATCTCTCTTTATCTTTGTCTCTCTCTGTTGATCTTCCTTTCTCTCTTTATCTTTCTCTCTGTCTTTATCTTTGCCTCTCTCTTAATCCTTCTCACTCTTTCTCCCTTTCTTTATCTTTCTATCTCTTTCTTTCTCTCTTTTCTGTCTCTCTTTCTTTCTCTCTTTCTCCCTCTCCTTCTCTTTCTCCCTCCCTCTTTCTTTCTTTCTCTTCCTTTCTCTCTCTCTTCTCTCCCTTCTCTGAGCGAGAAGCTCAAGGTGCGCCCACTGGGCGGGCATCGACTAATTGCACTCGAATTTTCCCTGGACACCCACAGGATCTCGGAAAAGACCCATTTTTCTCGTCGCCACGACCACCGATTATCTGCTTCCTTTCAGCGGGACACTCCTTCCTGGGGATAATCGGAGCCGGAAGCGTATTCTAATAACAATCTTCTTTGGATGAATGCTGCCTACGACAAGAATGTTTGCGCGGATTGTGTTTCGGGGGTCGTATTCGATTCCGGAAGTTTCGCCTGTTTTGCTGCTGGTTTTTTCACCGCCCAGTAATCGCGTTGTCCGGAAAACCTAACGATTTGTTCGGATCCTGTTGCGTTGCTAGGAATATATTGTATAGATTATATGATTTAATATACTGAAATCGCGAACAAATCGATATGCACCATTATTCAAACAGATTTATTCGTTTCGGTATTCAGTGATCAAGAAGAAGAATTAAATAAACAACAAAGAAAATTTAACTTTCGTTTTATAAAATCGACAATATTTTTGTTACAACGTAAAATATATTCGCGTACTTGTTACAGTTCAATACAATTAACTTTGAAATAAATTAGAAAAATTATAACAATTTCATACCGGTTTTTTTATATTTATCTACTTCTCTGTAAATGTCTTAAAATACTTTTGTAAGGGGGGAGGAGCTCACGAAAGATAATTTGCACTGAAAATAAAGATAAAAGTAATCTTAAGCGCAAAGATATGCTTCCCGTAGCAAAATGCAAATTACAATGACGCAAAATACAATATACGTATAACAATCGAAAAAAAAGAACTATTTTGCGCGCAGCATTTCTATTTCGTAAGATACCCAAGGTCGCAGCAGGTTAACGGGTTAACGGGTTACCGGAGAAAGTCATACGAATCTCTAAATCACGTTCGCTAACAAGACCCGTTCCCGTAACGGGCGTAAAAAGTGTAATTGGAATTTTTACGGGTTCAAATTGCATTTCATCCGTGCGCCGGCCGATAGAGGCGATCTCAAAGGGGACCACCGACGAAATCTTGTCCCTCGATTCCCATATTTTCTCTGGAAATTACGAGGGACGTGAAGGAGCGCGAGCCATCGGTGCGCCACAAAGCGACACGATTTCACGATCGACCGAAGACGAAATTTAATTTGTCCCGCGAGCAGTCAATTTCGGGGCAATCTTCCTCTTCGTCTTTTTCCCCCTCCGCTCTACCCTGTCTGCCCCACTGCGCCCCGGCCCACCCCCTCTCCTCCCGCGCAGCGCACCGCAAGGTATACTTCGCCGGGCTCATAAGACGCCGTTTCTGGACCATATGCCGGGGACCATACGGCACGTGGATAATTATAGTGAAACAGTACGCGGTTGTAATGCAAGGGTGGGTTTTCTCCGGCGATATAATATTCGCGACGACAGATTGTGCGCCGAGCGTGCTGAGGGAATTAGGAGCAACGTTAATCACGGAGTTTGCGCTCCGGGAGTGGGGGGACGCTTTCGATAATTCGCTGGCTATTAGGAGAATCGTCGCTGCTTCGAAAAAAATTGAAGTCGACGTATTTATCGAAGAAGGAAAAGGATCGTGAAATTAAAATTCTACAAATAAAATTCCAAAAAGTTCCACGAAATTCCAAATTCCAAAGTTCCACAAAATTCCATAAAATTCCACAGACTCGAAACACTGCAGTTTGAAACACTGCTAACACGAGACATTAGCGATCAGAACTTTAACCCTTTGCACTCGGGTGGCGACTCTGAGACGACGCTAAATATTGCTTAAACAAATATTTTTTAAACAATTTTCACATTATTAAATTTACACGTATTCGATGTATTGACAAATTGTTTCCGTCCTCCTTACACGATAGATGCTTTTTTAATGTAAACTATGCATTCAACTACTGTTAATAATTTTTAAATTCCTTAAAAAGCTCGACTTATATCCTTAAGCGTTGGATATAGTACTCGATAAGTTTTATGTATCCAAGGTGATATGTGATAATATTGTATAATATATTGTATATGTAATAGCAATTTTGTAATAATGTATTACAAATGCAATACACAAATACAATTATATTATATATGTAACAGCAATTTTGTAATAATGTATTACAAAATATATTGCTAATAACCCCGTATAAATAAAGTAGGGCGTTTCATAGCTTAATAAATAAAAAAAAAAAGATTGTCAAATAATAGAAGTCTTGTGTAAGCGTGCACGTTCAATTTCATCAAATGAAAACAAGCATACCAAGTGGGAACACCGTTGGTTCAAGCAAATGTCTTCATTTTGGAAGACTCGGGTGCAAAGGGTTAAGCGACAATATCTCGGAAGTGAAATCATGTGACTTTGTTGCCGGCGACTCGGAAATTTTCAGCTTCAGTATCTCGTTACGCACTCGCGTGCGATTATTATATCTCCCCGGACGGAGCTGGAACAACGAGAATAAAAACGAATATGTATTTCCAGAGGCGTTTATTATATCCGACGTTGCAAATTGTTTCGGATTGCCTAGAAATTGATTTCGGTTATAACTTCCATCGTGTACTCTGTAACAAAATTTCATTTATGCGCAAATTTGGCGAAGCCAAAAATTGATGAAGAATCAAAGTCTATGACGTCACAATAAATATGAAACAATAGAACAGTATTATTCATGTTTATATTGCGTTGAGGTAAGTAACGCGTGATTTTTACAGCATTTTTATATTTTCAGAAGATATAATTGAAATGATGTAATTCTATAAAATAATATAATTGAAATGATGTAATTCCATAAAATAATATAATAAAAATAATGTAATTCCATAAAATAATATAATTGAAATGATGTAATTCCATAAAATAATATAATTAAAATAATGTAATTCCATAAAATAATATAATTAAAATAATGTAATTCCATAAAATAATATAATTAAAATAATGTAATTCCATAAAAAGTCATTTTATTGTTATCGTCGTATTATACTTATTTCAATTCATAGGAACCGTGGCTCCAAAAATTATTTCGCTAGTATTTACATACTTCTATGTAGACATTCAATAATTTTTAAATATCGCACTACTTCCTTGAAACCTAACGGGTTAACACTCGAATAAATTGTGCCTAAAAAATTGTAAAATATATAACCTGAAATTTTTGGACGGTTTAAAAGCGGTAGCGTTAAAAGCGAAAGCTGGCTATTCCCGAAGACCGAAAACCGAAAAAACAATAATTTTTTGTAAATAACAACAAGATTTAATATTCTGTATATCTTACCGCTTTAGCAAACATATTAATCACAAAACAGTACGACAAAATTTCCATTAAGCGTTCAAAAACTCCTGCTTCAACACATTTTCGAAGCCTTTTCCGAAAATTATGAATAATCGTCGCACACTCGATCGCTGTAATTTCATTCCACGCATTTCGTGAAGTTAGTATTCACTCATCCGTCGACTTCCACCATCAATAATAATAATAATAATTAAAATTCTCTCTACATGCAATTCGATAATCGTAACCCGCTTTTCACCGTTCCTCGCTTTCAGCCTAAAAAAGAACAGAACGTACCTAAACACTACCAACATCCGTAAAAAGACATAAACAATTCGAAAATCGAAACAGCTTCGGGCACTGAAAAGAAAATTTCCCGAGAAAAGAAACTGTTACATTTTTCGTAAAGGAACAGAATCATCTTCGCACCCTGCAATGCACCCACGCGTCACCTAGGTCATGCACACACGATCACCTAGGTCATACAAAGTCCATAACAGTCGCGGTTCGACGCACGCCGCAAATACGCAAAAAAATCGCGATGCCCGCGAAAACGGTTCAACGCGAAAAATCGCCAACTCTTTCCGCGGTCTGGCCTACATCTCCCGTCCAGAGAAATATAATTCGGGCAGAAGGACGGCGATGCAGCGTGGCCGACCATATGCCGAGGGACGGTTCCAGCCCACGGATAATTACAAGGGATGCTACGCTGCCTTCAGGGGGTAGGGGCGAGCTAAAATCGAATGGTGGGGCGCGTGGCTACATAAGGAAGGTACCGACCTCCGAAGGGTCGCAGTCGGCTCGAAATTTCGGAGATACCGGATCTCGCGTCTCCGCTTCTCGTTCTCGTGCCACGCGCTCGCATCACCGCCAACACACGCGTTTTGTTTACACGGGGACGGAACGTACATATATATATATATATATCTCACCCATTGATGCGATTCTCGCGGAGGATCGCGCGCGTTTCCCCAGTGCCGGTGTTTCTCCTCGCAAACTGGACAGTGTGAAAACCAGTGAGTGCAAGCTAGACATTCGAAAAAGCGAGTGCGACTCTGCCTAGACCATGGGGATCTCGTGGTTCGTCGTGTTCACCTGGTGCATAGGCATCGCGACGAGTTTCGATCTGGGACCGATCGTCAGGGTCGCCCAGTGCAGGTCCCAATGTCTCAGGAAGCACACCTCCGACGGTAACTGCGACTGGTACTCCGGACAACAGCAGACTACTTGCAGCGTGGTGAGTTGCCCGCCAATTTTTCCCCATTTCTCCGAGGCATTCCGCCGGCTTTTTCCCCGATGGTCGCGATTATTACACGCCTCCGATAAGCTCGACGGTCGTTTCTTTTACGACGGTGGTGCACGCATCCTGAAAATGCCCGTCGATCGCGACGGGAAACCGACGGCGGAACGCGCGAGTCAACGTCCTGTCTGAAAATCGACCAGCAGAAAACTCGGCCGGCGCGTTTCTACGGAACATCTTGAACCCACTACGAGCGTATTCTGCGAGCGTTTTCCCCTCCGTTTCCCCCGCAGCGGAACGAGAACCGGCTGCGTCCCGTCACGGATTTTCGTCGCGCCGCGTGCACCGAACGCGAGAGCGACACTTCTAACTTTAACGTCTGTGACCCTCTTTTCCCGAGTTCGCCGAGCAAACCAGCGCGCGCGTCCCTCCCCCGCTCCTCCTTTCCTCCCCGGCTCGATCCGACGACGGAGGACCCAGTCGCCGGAAGATCAACAGCCTCTCTCGGCTGGAACAATAAACAATCCGAGCCACGGAAATATCCAGGAAAGAGGAATGCACAGGCTTTTTCCCAGTGGAAATCCCTCGGGTCACGTAGTAGGTGACGATTCGATCGTCTGGAAATCGGATAGGGCCGGGTTTCGAACGCCTCTCCTCTCCCTCTGGCTCTCTTTCTCTCTCTCTCTCTTGGCCGACGATAAATCACCGGTGTCGGTTTTATGGGGCGCCGTGGAAAATCATGGTGGTCCCCGCGCGCCCCTCTCCGCCCTCGATCTCCGCCGGCAACCCCAACCCCCTGGCGCAGATGGACAGATGGGAATCACGATTAACGTGCACCACCGAGCGTGTGCGGCTGCTCTTCTCTCTCTCTCTCTCTCTCTCTCTCTCTCTCTCTCTCTCTCTCTCTCTGCATTCGCTCGGGGCGTTGCTCATTTTGGTGCGCGCCGAACGGGGGGTGTCCATTAATTTCGGGGGAAATCGATGCCATCTTGCGCGACGGTGTACACCCACGGGGAGAGCGCGCGAAGGCGTCGCGCCGCGCCGAGGCGAGCCGAGCCGAGTCGCGCGCCACGAGAGTGCATTCCGCGCGGATTATTATCGAGGCGGAATCGTTGCCCGGGAAGACGCGACGCGTTCCCCCGATGATCCATTCAAATTTATGCCAAGGGAATAGGAAGGGAGGACGAGTCCTCGAGGCCCGTCGTTTCCCCGGGACGCATTAGAATAACGATTCACCGAGAAGAGGCGGACGCGCGGAGGTGGCTTAACGAAGGTCGCGACGGGGAACCGCCACCCTCCTCCTCCTCCTCCCTCACCCTCCATACGCTGTTCGAAAGGGAACGACGAACCTTACGCCCGGATAATGCCGATTATTTCTGGGTGGGGTGCTGCATCGCTCTGCGCGCATCGCCTTGAACCTCCCTTCCCGCGGCCGTAATTGTTTCATTATCCTTTGAACAATCGGGCGTAAACGGGACGGGGCGGGATCCGGACTGATTGCCGTCGAGGAGACACGGTAAATTGTTTCTGAAGCGTGGTTCTTTCGTGTCCAGCCGCGCGCGATGGGACCCCGCTCTCTCTCTCTCTCTCTCTCTCTCTCTTTCTCGTGAGGAACGTAATGGCTGGACAGGAATTTCTGGACCCACGATGCACTCGCTGCCGATCATTTGTGCACGGTTAGTCATTAGTTCGAGTCGCATGGCTTGAGATGTAATCAGAGTGGATCTGTTTCGTTTTCGTAGTTTCTCGTCTGTGTGCGCGATGCGCGCTCGATCGTTATCTCGGCGGCCACGTTTGTTTGGCTTGGCGATAGGTAGAAATCGTAGATCATAGAACTACTGATCACAGAAATATTGAAATTGTTCAACCCTTTTAGTGTAGACGATAGATCGTCGTTCGCAACGCTTGCGGAAAGTGTCAGCGACGATCTATCGTTGCGTATTCGACGGCGCCTAATTATTCGGGATTCGTTAGTGTACGCGTTTGTAAGCATCGATGCTAGATAAATTATTTGTGCGAGTGACGATAAGTAAATATTACACGTTTTCGATAGCCAGATAACGCGAAATACGAATAGTTGTAATAATACTAAAATTTTTGTTCGGTAACGTTATGTTAGCTAATCCAATTCATTTGTTTTGTAGCAGATCCTTCTGACGCTTGCCGTGTATTATGGCGTTAGCCATTAGTTTTGTGGTCCGATGTCGGTTATTTTGTTACAAATGATTGAAAGTGGAATATCTATACTTCGTACTGGTTGATCTACATAAAGCTATGATCGAACGATGATTTTTCTTGTTTGCAAATACTGTTTCTAACCAAGAGAATTGATTTTTCTCTTTTTCCCTATTGATTTTATATTTATGTCATCCGTATGATTTTCAACAAACATCTAAGTACAATTGGCGTTACTTTATTCTTCCTTTATTTCGTAATATGCTTCTGTTTGAATTTCGTAAATATCATTCTTACTTTGGCTCTTTTGTGAGCTTTTTCCCCAAACCTTAGCAAATTCGTCAAATTCGTTCGGTATTATTCGCACAGGTACGATACTATTGCTCGACACTAAAAGGGTTAATTCGGTTTGAACTCCTCGCACAGTTGAGTTGATCAGCGTTTCTTTGTTCTCAACTTATTGCAATGCAACATCGAGTCGTGTTTCCATACGGAATTCCTTGCATTTGGACTTGGCAATACTTCGACTATTTTAGAATCGAAATAAAGTTTAATCTGCCTGTTATCAATACAGTAAATTCTCCCCAATTTTGCTTCAGTTTGTAAAAAGCGGACAATTCGGGAGGAGGAGATACAATTATTCGAGCCTCGCGATTCATTTTATAGTTGCCTTCCTCGTCGATTTTGTCGATAAAATTATTGTAGATGTGCAACAAATGCATCTTAATTTTCTTGCACAAGAATTTCGCAACGGCAAAACGGTTGTTAAAAATTAGCGTGGAAGCGAAACAAGTCGCCGGTCGAGGGATTAACCCCTTGCCCTACTTTATCGCGACCGAGTCGAGGAAGATTCGTAGTAATAACCTGTTAAGCCCGAATGTCGTTCTGTTCTTTCGAGTCGGAATAAATTACTGTTTCATTGCCGCAGGCATTCGAGTTGACGTAAACACAAATGAATACAAATTGCCTCTTTCCTCTAGGAAAGAATAATATATAAGAAAATAATATGTATATGCATTAGTAGATTTTGCAAAAGTTCATTAGTTATGCTACTAATACATATACTAGTGGATTTTGCAAAAGTTCATTAATTATGCTGCTAATACATATATTAGTAGATTTTGCAAAATTTCATTACGCTCCAATTATTCATTGCGAGTTTATTTAAACTGACGACAATACGTGAATTAAAATCTCGGCCAGCGAGATTCGTTGCTATACAAGATAGTAATATTATCAATCTCTTGCGCTGTAACAATGAGGCAGACTTATGATAAAGATTTCACGCATAATCTACTAAATACGAATCTTATTCATTTCTTTTTGTCGTTATATAGTAAATAATATAATCTACTAATATAATAATAATATTATAATAATATTATTATATTATATATTATTATTATATTATTATTATATTAGTAGATTATATTATTTACTATATAACGACATCTGGTACCGATTATTATATTATATATTATTATTATATTATTATATATTATATTATAATTAAATAGTATTATAATAATCTAATAATATAATCTACTAATATATAATACAATACATAGTATAAAATGTAGACACGTCGACAACAGCTATTGCTCCTCCGATTTTTAATAACTTCTTATTAACTAAACAAGCTTATGATCTCTCGTTATTCCGAATCGTACAACAAGTTCTTCTTAAATTAGCCCTCCCGCCGTATAATAATATCTTTACTCCCTCGAACGCAGCCGACCGTCGTTAGGTAGCCCTTCGAAGGATCGATAAAAAATAGCGAAGCACCTGCGAACTCGAAATTGCAGCACGTAGATAATTATAGATTGACGATTGCGTCGAGAGGTGGGGTGGTACGGTCAAGCATTTTCCTAGAAAACATCGCGATGGATTAATAACTCTGGGTACCATTCAATTATATCAGATCGTCGTACGTATAATCGTAATCGTTTCCGTTGATCGTAATCAATGGCTCCCGGGGTTCGACAGAGATTAGTGAGCATCGTTCAAAGAGAGATAAAGAGAGAGAGAGGGGGGGGGGACATTGCTGGTGTTGGTCGTTCCATCAAATTTCATCGAGTACGACGATGATCGTACCGTTATCGAATCACGATCAGTGAAGGGTCGTAAAAACGACGTCCCCTCGTCCGGGAAATCAATGGCCGGACTGTCGTAAAGTGAAATAAACTGGATAAAAGGGGCTCGCGGTGGCCGGGCTCCTTGATTCGGAGTACTGACGCACGGGAACTACCCGGCTTTTAATTCCGAGAATGTGGGATACCGGAGGAAACCGTCTGGGTAATTGACAAACCCAATTTTGTGACATGCGGTAGCCTCTGCATTAACATTAGAACTATCGAGCCCTAAACCCTAAGTACTAGTGTATATTGTTTTATGACAATGCGCCAGTACTGGATTTGTTTAAACTTCGGATGATTTATATTATAATATACTATATATATTATAATATAATATAATATATATTATAATATATATATTATAATATATATATTATAATATATATATTATAATATATATATTATAATATATATATTATAATATATATATTATAATATATATATTATAATATATATATTATAATATAATATAATATAATATAATATAATATAATATATATTATAATATAATATAATATAATATATATTATAATATAATATAACATAATATATATTATAAATATAACATAATATGTATTATAAATATAACATAATATGTATTATAAATATAACATAATATGTATTATAAATATAATATAATATATATTATAAATATAATATAATATATTATAATATAAAAGATATAAAAAATGTAAAGAAGTGTACCTAGAAATTTCGCCAGAAAATATTTTAATAATATCGGGAGCTGTGAAAGCTGATAGTTCTATTGTTAAAAAATACAATTCTTTTAGAACCAGTAATCGTAAAGATTTTTCAAGATCGAATTACACAATTCATTTAACCCCTTGTCCTAGGATTCCCTTCATGGACGATTCCAATTACTGCATCCAAAAGAGAAATAAAAGTTTCTTGTAATCATCGGTCATTGTAATCACAGCTCGAAGGCCTTAATTACATTAGACACGTAAGCAACAAAGCAACGAAGAGCTGAAAAGAGAAACGTGTACCGCGTTTTAAGAATGAAAAATAGCTAGTAGACCTACATACGCGTTTGGTCATTAATAGAACGGTGATAAAATGCGAGGATATTCTACTATATAATTTAACGTACGTTCTCTCGGGTTCTCGCATAAATGCACGGGATTCGCGGTATTCTAGCATCGAGTGTCGTGTTCCATTTTTCCAGTTGTCGGCCGTGTCAGTCGCGTCGGTCATGCATGAACGAAGCAGCGTCGTCGTATGATATTTTTATTAGCACAGAGATTACTGGAAATATTGTATATTTAGTATGTTATTTGTATATTTATTAGATTTGGAAAAGTTCTTGCGTTTGTAACGGATTTCATTTGCTGATGCGCAGAAGTGTATATGTAAAGGTATATATAAATAGTAATAATAGTAGCATAATATAGTATATATAATTATACAATTATTATGCTATTATAATTATATATATATAATTATTATACTACTATTATTATATATATAATTATTATACTACTATAATTATATATATAATTATTATACTACTATAATTATATATATAATTATTATACTACTATAATTATACCAATAATTATTATACTATTATAATTATACCTATAATTATTATACTATTATAATTATACCTATAATTATTATACTATTATATATATATATTATATAAAATAGTACATAAAAATTTGCGCGAAAATTCATTTATTTAAGCGACATAACATGTCCAATAACTAGATCTTTGAACGACCAGCTTGAATGACGAATTTGACCCGTCACCCGTAACTCATGCAAAACGAGTGCACGAACGACTCTCGGTCGTCAAATGTACCAAAGGGGTTAAACGACCCGAGCCGAATGATCGTTCTCGTCGCGATCGGATCGGATCGCTCGAATTACGCGAGGCTCGTCAACGAGCCACCCGGTACATTTAGAGAATATTTTCATACAGCGTGCTCCCCTTCTAAGTCCGTCTACGCGGGCCCGCCAAAAAACTGTCGGAAAAAGGGAACCCGGTGCCCGTAGGGGAATTATCGCGAAGCTGTTAGACGCTGATGTTGCTTTTTTGGAGACGTCATTAGCGCGAAAGAAGGGACCTACGGCGATTCTACGAAGCAGCCGGGCTTAGAAGGAACGTGCCGTGATGAAGGATAATCGGGAAGAGAGAAAGAGAAAGGGAGGAAGGCCGCGCGAGAGGGAGCGGGGCAGAGCGCGGGGCGTGGGGCAGGGGGAAGGAGGAAGAGACGGTCTCTAAGAGAAGGGAAGAAAAAAGAATCTAGAAACAGGGCTCCACGAGAGACGGTACCCCAATAAATATGAAGACAACAACGACGGTGCCTGTTATGCCTGAAACAGGTTGGAGCTAATTCGGCCTCGCCCCCCCCCCTTCCTCCCTCCGTCTTCCGTCTCTGTTCGTCTTCCTTGTCTCTCCAGCTTTTTTCTCCTCTTTCTGGCCTTCACCCTTTTTCCTCCCTCCTCCTCCTCCTCCTCCTCCGCCCCTCTCATAGCCGCTTAAATCGCTGGATTCAACGGTCCCGCCGATGGTTCTTATTCTCCCTTTCCTTCCTCGCGTTCCACGGACCTCGCGTCTCCCCCTTGGTCGCCCCACTCCCGTCGCTCCGTTCCCTCCTCGCCCCTTTCGCGGCCCCCCCTCCCCCTTTCTGACTCGCCCCGACGTCCCGTGTACCGTCGTCCTTTTTTCTTTTTTTTTTTTACTCGTGCGTCCCGTGTGCGTGCAAGAGCTTTTTGTTCAACGATGAAACCAACCCCACCCTCTCCCTTCGTCTTCGCCACGCTCGATTCTTTCATCTGTATTTTTTTCTTTTCTACTCCCGTGTTACAGTGCTGGCAGTACTGCGAGGCCCTCGAGAACCGGTGGGAGAAGACCAGGACCATTTGCGAGGGCGACCAGTATCTACATGTAAGTAAATTTACGGATGAACCAGCCTCTCGGATTAGGGGAGGCCGCCGCGGCGTTGTACCGCGCGGAATACTCGGCCCACCCCCGCAAACCCTTTGAGCCGGCATGTACCCGAGATGGGAAACACGGGAAACGGGACCCGCAGTCGCAAGGAAATTTGTGGATCGCCGCGGGCCGCGTTTACGGTCTTGCTAACAATCGGCCCTTTCATTCGGGACGGTGTTCCGAGCGTGCTACATCGACCGGGCCCGTTCGTCCCGATCGTTCGGGAAAAGTGACGCGCCACGTCGCGGCTCCGGAAACTCTTCGAAATCTCACGAAATCTTTGATCTTCGAACGATTCTCCGTGTTCAATCTTTTGCGCTCGAAGCGCAATTGAACGCGGAATTTAAAATAGCTTCTCGGAAACCTAACCTCATAACCTAGGTTTTTCTTTTTATAAGTATTCAATTGGATCTTGTGACTCGTACAACAGTTACGCCTTTAACGGTTCTTTAAATATAAGCAAATTTGATTAACGCTAGATTTACAGGATCCGTCAAAATGGCGGGTCATTAATTTTTTAATTTAGGATTATTCGTACCGCGAAGATACATTTATGACTTATTTATTCAATTTATATGTTATGGCAAATGTTAGTTATACTCGTTAAAAATCAGAATAAATGTCTTATTGTTACTTTTATAAACTAATATAAAACGGATGGTATTCGAGCTCCGTAAAACTGTGTTAATAAAAAATTAAAAGTGTTAATAAAATTATTTTGAAAGAACAATTTTTAATGGCGCCTTGGGATCGCCACTCGAATGCAAAGGGTTAATCTAAAGGGTGTCCGATTCTCGAGATTTAATCTGTTTACTAAATTTCCGACTTCTGACTAATTTTCGATATTTAACCCTTCCACGGCTAGCGCCGTCTACATGCTTCACGGCGGCATGAAGAGAATTTTGCTGTATTGTGCAAGAACAGCAAAAGCTTAAGCGCCATGTTTTATAGCGAGTCTTGTAAAAAACTAGAGAACAGTTTAAATATCAGCGATTAATCGAAAAACTGAAATTTAGTGTACGGAGACTTTCTGGAGTCACTGTATGTCCGAAGAAGGAACGTTTCCTGATTTTTCAATAGACTGAGTTTTCCTGAGCCAGATTCGGTTTTGTGCTGATCTGGTAGAACTCGATGTGGAGAAATGTTTGGAAAGTTTTAGCGAGTCTTTTATATTCTTGCGAAATCAATAGAACTTATACCAGAGAGGATAGGATTCTTCTTAGTTGAACTCTTTCAATAGCATTGATTTAAGTACATTTTGTGGATAAGCTATATTTTCCATTTTTCCATTCTTAATTAAGGGAAAAAATCATTTCTAGTTGTCAGCAAATGTATAAGGACAATATCAGTCAATTTTTCAGTGTGATTCAATTGTAATTTTTGGAGTAAAATATAGAGTCCTAGAGTCTGGGTTAATACTATTTTTGTTTTAATAATAAAATAGTATAGCTATTATATATTATTATTATATTATTATAATATTATTATTATATTATTATAATATTATTATTATATTATTATTATATTATTATTATTATATAATAGTTTAAAA